AAGTAGAAATTGATGATAAAGAAGTACTAGTTGAAGAAGAAAATATTAGAGATTTTTGGTACTCAATGATTCTTTTAATATTATATCTTTGAGCTTCTTTATCCATTTTCCATAAAGAATCTACATCTTCTTCTTCAGTAATTTCAATAATTTCAGATGACATGATGTCTTTGTATTACAAGATAGGAATTTTGGTGGCTAAAACATATAAATTTGACTTGAATATATCTATAGAAAAAAAATTGAAGTGTGGTTTTTTTAGTTGAGGAAGTAGAATAATAAGGGAAAAGGGAGGAAGCAAAAAAGAGTTAAGAATATTTCAAAGTTATAAAATGATTCAAAGCCGGCAGTTGGGGCAAATTTGTAGATCAAGTTGTTTTTTTTTTTGTTTTTTGAGGAATTTTAATCAACAATTTGGGAAGTAGTTAATGACAAGATTCATTGACTTAATCAATGTTTGTTAATTAATTAGTTGATTATATTTGTCCTTTATAATGTTTTTTTTATTTGGGTGTACATGTCCTCATCCTAATACTTGTTTAAATCATCATGATGAAGACGTGCATAAGAGATCATGATAGGTAAGGAGTTAGATGGTTATCGTTTAATATTCTCCATCGTTACATAATGTCATATATTCATAATTTGAATGATAAACCTACAAAAAAAAAAAGTAGAGTACGGGGTATAGCTACTATAAAAAAGTAAGGTGAAGAATAAAATAAAATTATTGAATAATAAGATAACATGAGAAAAAAATATTAAGGTGACAACATGATCACACCAAATCGATTGTTACATAAAATAAGTCTTTTCATCGTTACCTAATAATTGGTTCTTCTGATATATTATTCACTAAAAATAATTCATATTTTGTGAAAGCACAAATTTAAAATTTGAGCTTCAAAACTCTTCAATGATAAATTTTGATGGACATCAACTCAAATCTTTTTCTAAATAGCTCAAACAAATTTTCTCCACTTAAACAAGGTTGGAAAATTTGCAAAAAATTACAAGTTATGTACCAATTAGGCCAAGTCCGAGTATATAATAGAGAATTGGGTTAAAATCGATAAACTAGATGACCGAAGAGTATTGGGCCATATTTTTCATAAAGGCCTTCAATAAAGAGAACCAGCATACATGGCCCCATATAGAAGCCCAATATAGTTACTTTTGCTAGCCCAAATCTAATATTTTATCTTTTTGGGCCTTACTAAACCCATAAGAACCCCCCCTTCAATTCTTAAACTTTCAGTAGAGCCCATGACCTTTTCTCTATGGGCCTATTTGATGGATGTCAAGTTTGACACCAATTGGTCACTCTACTTTGATGAAATGAATTTTTACTGTTTCAAATTGAAAAAAAATTAATGGGGTGTCCAATTTTCATTTTACTAATTAAGTTATATGATGTTTTTTAATTAAAAATTATTTAACTTGTAATTAATAGTGATAAACTTCTGAAAAAGTGTATCTCCTCCTCCTCTACTAGTTAAAGGCAAATTCAGGATTTTTGGATTTTATGTTCCTACAATAATCTCAAATTAATGTACAATTAACCTCCTCCTCTACTAGTTAAAAGTAAATTCAGGATTTTTGGATTTTATGTTCTTACAATAATCTCAAATTAATGTAAAATTAACTGGACCAATGGAATGGATTCTTAGCTAAATATTAGTATAAATTTATTATTTTTTTAATACAAATACATGATCTAAGAAAACAAAATACTAATTTGGTGAACCCCTAACGATTGCACTAGACCTGCCCTTTCTATTAGTGTGTCTAAAGTTATTGTCAAGCAAACTTCCAACAAAAATGTCTGAAATTTGAGATTGTTCCGAAGTATAGAGTTGCTAGACCAAACTTTAAATAAAAAAACCTTTTAACATATTAGGAGTTCAAACTTCAGATATATGTTGTACATATGAACTTTTAAAGAAAATTCAGGCTAATGCTTTTTGAAGTTTATATTAAAATGATTAAACTTATAAAAATGTATGAAACTTAGACTATACGTCAATAAAACTAAAAAGATTAATAATCTTTTACTCAAACGAAACCTACGTTTGACTTACTCAATATAGAGCATAACACAAGGAAACAAATTTAATAAACGAAAGTCCACTAGCTAGGAACACAATTTAAGTTTTACATCTTAGATTTGTTCACAATTATAAATATATTGGGTAAATTAATAGTACTATAATGTTATATACTTATTATATAAATTAAATAGTTGATGTGAACCGAGGAAGATTATCTTGTACTTAAAGCCGTTAATAAACAAATCTTAAGTCATGATTAGCATGATAATATTCACAAACACAACTACTTTTGCTAAGTTTTGAATGAATCAAAAGTCCACACTTGTGGAGACAAGATTTAGATCTTACCAATGTGTTTCCACATGCTCATGCGTATTCTTCAATTTGCCATTTTGACCCAACATTTTTTTTTTTACATTATATTATATTGATATGATCTCTAATCCCATGACCCAAGATTTACTTGTTTTATTTTTGTTTCACAAGAATTCACATTATGAACATTACCAAGTCAATAATGCTCTAAGCATTCTTTGAGTCGGGAATTTATCATAGACAGACGATAATTTATCTATCTTTACAAGGTAAGAGTAAAGTTATGTACACATCAGCATTTTCAGATATTTCTTGTGAAATTATAAGGTTGTTACCGCTTCAAGCCACCAAAGACAAAAACTATTTTTCGAGAATGAAGATCATATATATTTTGGGAATTAAAAGAGTAATTTATTGAAGGGAAAGGGAAGTCATGAAATTCAAGGAACTGACGTCCCCCATTTTATGATTAGACTTTCATAGAAGAGAAGTTTTATTGATTGTCATTAAAATACTTCTCGAAAATCGAAAAAATATTTAATCCAATTTCGATAGTGAATTGAATATATTCATCACCAGTTAGATATAAGCATAAAAGTCAATAATAATATGAATATGACAAAAACTCGAGATACTTAGGTGTTTTAAAACTAATGCAACACATTAAATTTGAAGTATATATTATGACTAAACTCATCATAACAAGTATAATAAGTAAGTGTAGATGAGCAAAAAATATAATTACCTTTTTAACAAAAAAAAATTGTCAACTCTATATATAGAATTAGTATTTTTTATAGAGAGATGTGAGCTGAACATATAGTGAATGTGACCACACTATTGCAACTACAAGTACATTAACATATAGTGACAGGTCAATAATTCTAATAAGGGAATTAAAGAAAATGTAAGAATATCATATAGGGATCCAAACCTGCAATGAAAAACATTTTTTCTACTTTCACTTGTCTCAATATAAATATCAAAGAAAAAAGTAATCCTTTTTTATGTTGCAAAATAAGTATGCAAAAATTAATTAAAAACAAAAGAAGGAAATGTGTGCTATTATTTATCAAAATCAGAAAAAGGAAAAAAAAAGAATCATAGATGTATCATTTAGTGTGTGTTTAGTATAATCATGATTACAACTTCATTTCATATGAGAGTTGAATCAGTAAATGAGTAGGTTAGTAACCTGCTAAAAAATTACTTAAGCTGAAATGGACTAAAATTTGGATCATAATCCAACCAGTTCAATTCTTACTAAGTTTTAATTATTTTATTTGTTCTTTTATAAATTTTTAATACCTAATAAAATTATTATTTTCTTCATTATGACTATTTAATATATCAAATAAAAAATATTTTAATAAATTGTTTCTTGAACCAATTTAAATTATTATGTATCGATATATAATGACGTGAACTAATAAATGAACAGATTTATAATCCACCTAAATATAAACGAATTGAACGAATTTAATTTAATTTTGTCCATTCTAATAAGGATTCAAACTATTTTCTCTTTTGAAATGACATATGCACTTTATTCATCCATTTCCAAAAGTGGAATACCAAATTCGGCTACCCAACTTATAAACCACTTTTTTTTTTCTGTTTTCTCACTTATCTATATGCTCTAAACTTTTTTAAAAATTGACCTATAAATTAACATATAATCCATTAAGCATCACAAACAAAGAAAAGTTAGATTTAATTATTCTAAAAGAAACAGCATAACAACACCTTAATCCGGATATTACGCAATATATTAATTAATTAAAAGTTCAACATCATATAGAGTCAAATCTAATCACTCATCCGTTTATCTTTTCTTGTCCACTATACTATTTTGGAAAAGTTTATGAAATCAATATATAATTTATTATGTTGTGTCTATTTTATCCTTACTATTAAACACGATTCATTTTTCAATATTTAGTTGACTTATATTTAATAAGTGTGATTTGATAAAATTACCCCTATCGTTTACTGATTCTTAATTTCTATATCAAATCAATAGTAGACAAGTAATATGTAAACAAACTAAAAGTAAGAATAAAATAATAGAAAATATTAAGAAGAGACTTTAAAGTGAGAGGTTCATTGCATGTTCAAGATTTTGATAAGGCATGTGAGAGAATATGTAGGAGGAAAGAGTGGCACATGACAAGGTTTTAACAAGCAAACGTGCATTCCATGTGAGAGGGAAAAACCTTTGGGTCCAAGACCCACTCCTCTAATAAAGAAGAATATCAAGTCAAAAGATCACATCCTAAACCAATTATTATTGTTACTCACTTAAGATATGAATAATATTTATAGAATTAGATCATTTATAACATAATTTTAAGCATATTTTTATAATTGATCTGTTATAACATTGTTAAAATATATATACACTATCAATCTATAGTGCTACTTAAATCCTTACTATAATTATTGTCATAACTTAAAAAGAGGGGTTAATTTTAATTGAAATTAACCTTTGATCTCTTGATCATTGAAGTGTTGTTTTGGGTCATTAAATTATTTGTATATTTTTTTTGGTAAAAAAAAAATACAAAAATACTTGTATTGGATCATACCCCATGGAAACATGACTAGTAATAATGACATTGTAAGGGCAAAAAGTTTCAACAATACCAACAAGGCAACAACTATATAAAATCCTATTTTATAACAACAATCATTTACTACTCCACCAAAAGTGGGGAAGAAAAAGAACTTCAATAAACTAACACATCTTGATTTAATTAACCTATGCTTTTGATAGCAAAGGATTCATCACAATTTAACACACTATTATATCTAATATTGCTGTAAGAAAAAAAAAATTAAACTTAAGAAAATGAAATTTTTGACACACCACATGTAAGGGAAGTATTGCAACAACCCCATGTATATAATACACAAGATATAGTCTAAGGACATTTTTGACTGTTGAAATTTTTCAACATCCCGAGGTGGATCTAGGTCAACTTCTTAGTGGTGGATAGGCGCCGGATGTGGTGGAAGTGAAGGTTTGCATTGATAACATTTTGCGAAAAGGCCAAATGTATCAACTTGTCTGACAAAATTGGTCATGCTAGCCCAACCTCCGAACCCAAATCCAACGACGAAAACCCAAACCACAATGAAGGTGTTAATAACAAACATAGCAGTCCAACTTGGCATGAAAAATGGTGGTTTCTCTGCTGCATTCTGCATTAGATGAAACAAATAATATTAGAAAGTTTTTATGAACACAACAAATATAGCATAGTTTTAAGGAGGGACCATTATTGAAAGAATTAATACTCTAGGTGTGTATAGTAAATATATGTCAAAGTCAAGGGGGGCGTATGGTTGTCAGTCAACTAGTTAGCCAGCTCATTTCAGACATAATACTAACAGGGAGACTGTAGCTTATAACTAAATGAAATAGACTTTCCACCTATATCATATATTTCCAAATCCATGCCATTAATGCCTTTGTTGTACCTTTGTGTCCTCCCTTCTCTCTCCCCCACCAAGATAGTGTAAAAATTATTTCCATTCGATAACATTATCAATGGACCATAAGGTAAAAGGAGTCAACATAGCCCTAAAACAATAACCCCTTGACTAAAATCCACTATGGTTTTACAAAATGTCATTGCACAAAACAATTGTCACATAAAAGTACTACTTCTTTTGAGACAATTTTTACTTCATTTAACTTATAATGATGATAATTTTATGATGAATCGTCGTAATACAGATAGATGATGGGAGAAATGAATGCGTACCTGACGAGCAGATGATTTTCGATAAGTAAGCATATGGGCAAGAGCTGGTATGATGTAGACAGTGAAACTAACCAAAAGAGCCCCAACTGCAGAGTTAATAGGACCAAAAAATGGGAAAATAATAGCTAAGAACCATATTGGTATAACAACAGGCAATCTAGCTAATGCCCTCAAACATATACTTCTTGTATCATGCATCCCTATAACTTTCTCCCAAACAAAGTACAACGGAGTACACGCGAATCCAAACGTGATGAACTGATGAATCAACATCAAGATCACAGCAGCATCACGCCACGCGTTTTTTGGTAGAAGTGAGAACGCGTTACTATGGTTTAAAAGTTGATCTCCAAATGCCCAGTAAACTGCTGAAGCTGATGGTAGTGTTAGAGTGAACACATACAATGTCGCTATTAAGTAAATGTACTTGAACTTTTGTGGTTTCCACATTGCATGCATTATTTCCCTGAAAATTAAGTAGATGTGTACGAATTTTTATATACATATGCATAGTTAAAAGTTAAAATAAAATAAAATAAGAATATGGAATCTAATCATATGCTATAATTACTCAACAGATATACTAGTAAAGTAGTACTTTTGACAATATGGGGCATTGGATTCTTTAAATGAAATGAAGAATTCTTAATGGGACTCATTTAATTGACTAAACAATTCTTTGGCTTAGCTAGTTCCCATGTACCAAGAACATGTCAAGATACGAGGATAAGATCATAGTGTCAATAATTTGAAAAAAAATAATCAAAAGTATATTTAAGTAGAAACAAAAGTGAGAAATTAATTTTTTTTTTTTAAAAAGTGAAAACAAAACTAAATAACAATATACTCAAAGTAATTTTCACGATTGGAATTTAGAAAGTGTAAAGTATATATACGGACCTTATCATATCTTGAGAAGATAAAAAGACTATTATCAATAAAGGAGCGATTTAAGGAAAAATAATTTAAAGTAGTTTTATTTATTTTTAAAAAGAAGTGGAAACAAACGTGAGAAAATTTTGTACTATTGAAATGGAGGTCCATTTTCACTATTGTTGTTTGTTTTTTCATGTGAAGCAAACTGTTGTTTTCCTAGCTTACAAAATTAAAAGAAAAGTTATTTTTTTCATTATTTTGTCGGTTTTTACAAAAATCGAGGTAGGAGGCAAAAGCTGCAAAGAGAAACCGTGTAGAAACAAATACTAGCAAATAAAAAAGAAGTAAAATATATTTGGATAAAAATGATTACATATTATTATTCTAAATATAAATAAATTACAAAAAAAAAAAAAAAACTTACACAGTAACAGCATGTCCACCAAAAGTGTAAAGAATATTGGTAGCACCAGTAAAATACAACATCAGCTTTGATGGAGCAGTGTGTTGAACATTTTCAACCTATATACAATAATACAATAAAAATTAACTTTTCACCAAAAATTAGGATTTAGTTATATACAATTACACTTTTTTTTTAATATACGAACAGTTATATGTAGTTATCTTTTATTTACCTGACCATGAACCAAAGCCGCCACGGTTAAGTACCATGCTGTGTAAGTAGTCATTCCAAGGCCTAAAAATGACCAAATCCTATAGTTGTGGAAAGATGGAATGAAAACAGTTGTTGCACAACAAGCTCCAAATATGTAAGTCCATGTCCTCTTGTCCAAATGATCATTGATGTAATATATGTTACTGTTCCAAGTCAAGAAACCATCCAAAAAGAGAAAAAAGATCAATTTTTTTTAACTTAATACCACTTTAATAATTACTAGTAATTTTTTGGGATCATATGATTCTATACCTTGCACAAGCAATTAGTTGTATGACAGATCCAAACAGAAGGAAAGTACAGTTGAAGGCAAGTCCTGCTGCTTTCCAGTATGGTCCCAATAGTCCATCAAGCACTTCAAACCACTACCAATAAAATGAAAACAGTAAGCTCTCGCTATGCGCGGGATCAGATCATATTGAGTCAATTGTTTTTTGTTTATACGAACCTGAATGACATGATTCTTGAAGCTAGCACCTTCTTTTTCTTTTCTGCTTCTATATTCAATATAGAGAACACTGATGAGGTATGCAGTCCAACTACCCATAAGACCATAGAACACTTGTAGTACTATGCCTGATACCATACCAAGTTGAGAAAAAGAGTATGGTAATGTCAACAACACTTGCGCTACCTGTTAAAAATTTAACAGTAAGATTTTTCTTCAATATATCAAAATCGTAAAATAGTTAAACAACAGTAAAGAAATATATATATACTTGATTAGAAGCACAACTGAACCAAGCATCCCAAGCAGAGCCTCCATGCCAGAGAAAACTCTTGACATTAAAAAGCGATTGATCGTCTTCTAATTTTTCAACTTCTTCTTTGCTGCAATTTCCATCAGTATCACTGAAATTTGGGACAATTGCTTCCTCTGCTTGCTTCTGAGCCAACATTATCAATTTCTGCCAGATCTCATCAAAACAAAAAAACACAAAATGAGACAAAAAAAATTAAAAAAAACAGAGCACTGCACAATTCCCCCTTCTTTCCCAATTACACAGATCCAAAAAAAAATCCATATCTTACCTTGTAATACTAAGATATCTTTTTGTTGAAAACCAGATCTCTGTAAAAAGACGAAGAAGAAGAATACTACACTTCCTTTCTAATTGAACTTAATATTCCTTTCGCTAACTTAACAGCAACCGCCCCAATTCATTTTATAGTAAAAAAAAGAAGAAGCAGAGTGTAAAAGCAGAGAAGAAGAAGCAACTTTTTTTTTCTAGTAAGTGAATAAATGCAAGCTCAGAATAGTAAATTGCAAAGATCACAATCAATTCACTTAAATGCTCTTGTGTGTGAAATTTATATGATAAGTTTGACAAAGGCGGCGAAGAAGGCCTTAAAAGAAGCAAAAAAAACAGAGCTTTTAGTTGCAGAAAGGGCAGAAAAAGAAAGAAAGAAAGAAAGAAGGGAAGTAATAGTAGTAGTAGCAGCTAATCTAAGCTAAGCTTACTGGTTGGCAGAGGTAGTATGTATATATATTAATTGCCTGTCTCTTTTTTTTATTTTTCTTCCTTTTTTGTTTTTTGAGTTTTGGAATTTTTTTATTTTTTTTCCTTTTATATCTTTTTCATCACTGTAATCCACTCATGATTCTTACTCTTATTAAGGCTCTTTGTTTTTCGTAGAGAGGAAATGAGACATGAACGTTTATGGTGACATTGACTCGATTCGTTTGGATTGATTTATTTTAAATATTTTTAATTCAATACAATTTATAAGTATGTAAAATCTATTTGGATTGACTCAAGAGATAAATTTTTAAATCAATCCAAACAGGCTCTTAGTTTTAAATTGAAATGGTAAAAGTAAGTCAAAGATCAAAAGTCAATTCAAACAGCTTTAAATTTCTCATGACTTAAAAATAAGCTATCATTTGACAATTGATTTTAAATTTGAATTTAAAATATATCTTTAAATATCTATTGGATTAGATTGTGTATCCAAAAGTTGGTCAAAAAAAGTTTTTTATGGAAAATTTGTTACTTTTACTTATAAAACTATAATATTTTTTTTAAAAAACAAAATATAGTTAAAGCACATTTTAATTTTCAAAAATTTCAATTTCAAAGTTTATGATAAAATGAGAGTTAAAACAATAGTATTATTTTTCATTCAAAATAAATCAACTTATATACACAATAGAAGTTTATGATAAAATAAATAAGATTTATTTACTTTTAGTTAAAAAAATTAGATTTGAGTTCTACAAAATTCTCGATAGAAAGTGACTTTTCTTTAATAGACCTTAAGTGGGGCAAATAGGAATTAATCATGCGCAAAATTAATCGTAAATACTAGGTGGTAAACAAAAAATAAAAATTTAACTTGTATACAAATATGGTAATTATTTATATCTTATAATAGATTATATAACCTCTTTTTTTATTGTTACTAATCTGACTTATTAAAGAGGATTAGACAATTAGTTATAATTATTTTTTAAGTGACCTAACAACGTAACAAACATTATATTTCCACCATCAAAATTCAAAACCTATTAAAGTTTCTCAATGAAATTTCTTTTCATTTTAAATAATAATAATAAAATATCAGAGGATAATTTAATTTAAGTATTATTATTTACATAGATGATAGTAATAATTAGTCTTACGTCTCTATTGCTTGTTTTGTGAGTGTTTGGTAAAAATAAAGTTTATCGTAGAAGCAATTATCATCAATGTTTGACTGTCATTTTCCCCTGTGCATGTGATATGGTGTTTTTTTTTTTTAATACAAAGAAGATTCCAAAATTAAAGAATTTTTATTTGTTTTAATTTACTTCAATATATAAACGTCACCTACAAGATCTGCATTCTTTTTTTATTCTCTATATATTAATAAATAAAATAATAATAACGGTACTTAAATCCATGTTCAAACACTCTTAACACTTTGACTAAAACTTGAAAAATAAGCATGGCTATTATAGCGAACAAGAAGAAAAAACTTTAAATGTAGACGAGAAAATGATTTATTAAAATCACAAGTTGATTGCTTTGAAGAATAAACAAAAAATTAGGTCTAATATTTAGTTGTTAAATGAATTTTGGATGTGACTTAACTTCAAAAGCTAACTCAAGGTGAAAAAAATTGTTCAAGATCATATAAGAAAGATCAGGCCTGCACACCCAACTATGCCCGATTCCTACGGACAGTGGCAGAGCTAGAATTTTAAATAAGGGTTCAAAATCTGAAGAACTAAGCACACGAACTAACTGATGGGGGTTCGACATCTACTATATATACATAAAAAAATAATTTTAACCATGTATAAATAGTAATTTTTTCCGCCAAAGGGGGTTCGAATGAACCCCTAACAAAAGGTTGGCTCCACCCCTGCCTACAGGGCGTGAACAATTTATCCGGAGATTATTATTCAAATTTGATATTATATTAAATAAATTTAGATCCTAATTTAACCTCAAAATATCGTTCTCAAGGAATTTATTTATTCATCACGTTGTAAAAAATTGTCATTTCAACCATCTTTCTTTGATGTTTAATTAATTGTCATTCAAATAAACTTAAAGAGGAAATTTATCATACACTATTTTCCAATTCAATAATAACTTTTTGGTGTCACATGTTTATACCTTCATTCTACATACGTTATACTTAAGGGTCACAATTTTAGTGTGAAACACTAAGAAACGTTCCAAGGACACCAAATACTGATTTATACTTTTTTCATTCTTATAGCATAAAGTTGTGGAAGAAAATATTTCTTAAATACGTCAATTTGAAAACTTCTAGCAATATTTTTGTACTACTAGTTGATAAGTACTCCGTCCACTTCAATTTATTTATCTGATTTTGACTTGCCACATAATCTTATGGTCTTAACTAAATATACATAGAATATATCAAAATATTCTTAAATCTTATAGTTTTAAACATGTCATGTGAATGAAATTAAAAATATTATGAAACGAAAAAAGTATGTAATAAACAAAAATATATTACTTCAAAATAGAAGAACATGAAGTAGTATAATCAAAGTGGGCCTTAGCACTTAGCTGTAAAGCCCATTATTTATTTTTTGACAAATTATCTAATGTAATTACATTATTAGATACTTTCAAATAATTGCAGTATGTATTTTATAGTGATACTTCTAAATAATAAACAAAATACATAGATACCTTTTACATTTTATAGAAAATATAATTGATACACGTAACGCTAAATCCTATGCACAATTCTTAGATGTGTTATGTATATACTATCAGTATATATACAATGAATCAGCGTATATACGTTGATACATGCGTGAGAAACAAAGTGACAGATCAAATAAATCATGCACATGAGTTGACATCTTTTCTCAAAAGCAAACACTAACACATTGTTGAATAATCGAGAGTTTGTGACAACAAAAAATATAAGTAGGAAACCAAATAAAGTCAAAGATTTTATATACCAAATGGTATAAATATAGTTTATTAATTTACTATTGGATTATCGATTAATCCATTAAAAAAACCTCATATCATTAAGAACCAATAATCCGATAATAAAAAATATAAAATTCGTTAATCCAATAACAAATAACCAATAAATTAATTACTTTTTTCACCGTTCGAATTATCAATTTTGATTTGATTTTAAATAACCTTATATATAAGAAATAACTTAAGACAATAAATACGATTAGAGTTGTCAATATAGATCAATTCAGTTTATTCAAAGTAACTCATATAAACTTTGAAATTTGACGGATCAGGTCCCGACGTCGGGTTCACCCATTATGTTAAGGTGATATTCACTTGCAACAAGAAATGTGACTACAAATTAAATCAACACTACTTACTAAGAAAATTCTATATTACGTTTCATAATTAATTGACTATGCGTAAATTACCAGAGTAGCCGGCTGCACGCCGTAAAAGGTGAACACGCGAACCATCAAAGCCTCTTAGCCCCACTTCACCGCCGGCTAATTTTGCTGTTAAGTTGGCCCATTCAATTGGCGTTTTAGGGACCCTACCCGCTAGCCACATTAGAATTTTCACCTTTTTTATTTTTATTATTTTTCATCCCTTTATGTATAAAAGACCAAAAAAATGAAAGAAGATGAATTTCCAAAATTAGCAAAGACTTGAAACATAACGAGACAAAAATAGTTATATTTTGCTAATTACGATTCATTGCTACATGTTTAGAAGGAGGAGAGAGGCGAGCAAGAGACGACACAGAGAGTAGACCTAGAGAGACGGATTGTATTTGTATATATGTTACATAATTATATATATGTGTGTGTATGTATCAATGATTGTATATATATATCTGCCGGATAAAAAAGATATTATTACTCTTAATTAATTTGCGTCATGTTTACCTTTAATTACTCCTAGTATTAATTACATTATTTTCCCTAAAAGAAATTTAGCACCGGTTCTTTATTGCTACTTTCCGCTTCTTCCTCAACCATTTAAAAAAAAAGAAAAAAAGAAATGTTCATAAAAATTAATATATTATATATTATAATTAAAAAATATGTGAATATAATTTATCGGATTGGATCGGTTCGGTTAAATCTTCAGTTTTTCTTTTGAACAAAATCAAACCAAATATTATTGTTTTTTTAAAATGTAAAACCAAACCAAACCATATCCAAATAAAAGCGGTCTAGTTAATCGATTTGATTTAATTTTTTTGATTTAAATTTATTTTTATCCAAACCTTGAACACCCCAAGCTATCACAATGGCGGAGCGATATGTGTTTAGAGATGTCTATTTTAAAAAAATTATATTTTTAATAGAAAATAAATTATTTTTATGTATATATTATATATTGATGATTTTTTTTTATTTCTTCGTGAATTTATTTATTTATATTTTGATATTTTGGCTCCATTATTGCTAAATGTTTTTCAGGTTCTAAATTATGTAAAGGGTCTTCCCTTATTTATTTTCTTTGCTCTCACTTTCCACTAGCTCATCCTCAACAACCAAAAAAAATAAATTAATAAAGGGCAAGACTAGGGCTACAATTTACAAATTATGAATATTATAACTTGATTGCAATCGACAAGATTAGAATAATTGAGTACTCTCTTTTGTATGTAAAAAATACAAAATGGAAATTTTAAGAAAATATATAGAAATTTTCTAGAAGGTGCAAAGTTTATTTAATTAATAAGAACACTTGGATCAAGCAAAAACCAACTACACTTTCAAACTTCAAATTCACACGTCTTTAATTCTAGTTAATAAGTATGCAATTTCCTAATTTTGCATGGAGAAAACATGTCATATTTTTTTTTTTATTTTTGGCTTGTTAAAATTTTTTACAAATGTTTTAGTCAAATTAAAAGATATTCCACAACCCTCTTTTTCCCCTTTCCTTTTCCCTTTTCCCAAATTCCACAAACTTTCCTTACATTGCAAATTAATAAAGCAATGCCCACGGACCATATATACATAAGCACAAATAAATAGAAATAACTAAGGTACAAGATATAATCCCTTTTAATGGATTTTTTGCTATTTAAAACTT